GTGAATGACCATTACTGAACAAACAAACTAAAAAAACGAATTTAGAATCGGTAGAGCAGAACAGTTTTTATAAGCAAAATATTCTCCGACAACCGACAGTACAGTGGCTATGCTATTCACTCGTATTTGATGAAGCATTAAAGATTACATTTAATAGTGTGGGTTTGTCATTTATGCTTGATTATTTGCTGAATCAGTATCAAATCTTTTTTTTTTCTTCCAAATGACTCATCACCACACTTCCGAAATTTGAGTAAATATCAATCACGGTTCCACTGCAATGTAAGGTTGGCTAATAAGGATGTATTAAATATTCTGGAGTGGGCTCAGACAATGATAGTGACAAAACTAAAGGAAGTAAGAAATACCATGGTTATATATTCAAATGCCATGATTTTTATTCAAATGCCGGTCGATTTTGATCCATGCTCAAACAGTATCTTAATCCATCGAAAAGGTTTTATAAGATGTACTACTATAGACGCATTCGATTCTATACTATCTATCCAGTATTCAGATTGAAGATTAGTAGACTGTGTTAAATATCTATTAGAACTCGCCAAGCTTATTGGTACTACACCACATCATGCATTTGGATAGCGAGATAATCCGTATTTCGAACTATTTCAGTAAGTTCCGGTTGTTGACTAGACCTGAAGAAACGATCCGAATGACTAACTTTTGTTTCTCTATCATCGCGCACTCCTTTCTCAAAAAAATACGATACATTGTATGGCTTTCGTCTATGCAGTATGACGAAGAAAGTCTATCAATAGTTTCATGAAGTATTTTCGCCAAATTTGTTTTCCTTTCTTATCTTGTGATCGGATACTGTTCATTTTAGACTCAATCTTTGACATCATCAACTACAAGTACTGCTTGTTCAATTATCTAGTGTTTCTACGGGACTAAACATGACTTCCATATGTAAAAAAGAAATATTCTCATAAAAAGAGAATTTATCAGCAGCCACATTTTGAGTGTTACGTAGTGACATGATATCGCTAATAAACTATCGATCGAATTTGACTGACATATCAGAAGAACTGGTAAGTACAAGGGGGAAACAGCGTACTTTGTACTTGTAGTTAATTTGGCTACTGTAAAGTACTTTGAGCTTCTTTAAAGTACTTTTCTGTAATTTCAAAGTACTTTAGCGTAATTTTAAAGTACTTCGTGTATTTTAAAGCACCTTTCTGTAGAAGAGGTGTTGAAAGAAAAGAACTTTGGAAACATATGCGTAGATGTGGTTTGATCTGCTGAATCCGAAAAACAACATCTCAGAGCTTACAAGTGGAATGGGAAAGAACGAGACCCCTTTCATAAAAAAAGAGTTGTTTTTCTAGGCTTTTTGTTAATCTCTAGTGTTTTGCGATTTCCACCCAAAAAGTACGTTTTTTTTTTGCGAAAAACCAAGGTCACCAATAGATTCAGCAGACTCTCTTCTATCAGATTATACGTGGAAAAAAGAAATCCAAAGACTTACTCGAAGTTCGAATTAGCCTATAACGTTCATTAGCCAAAAATGAATCGCTCAAAAGCTACATCGCAGTAAAAGGGGAACTGGAACGATGAGAACATGGACTTTTCAGCACGGGGGTATTTGACCACGTCAATATATATATTCTAGAAATTAAGTATCGTACACTTATAAAAGATTATTGCGAGGCAGATGTGTAAATGAGTTTAGCAATGGTGTATTTGATGCCTGATGCAACTCAAATTCGTTTTTTTCTGCAGTTGATCGATCGTAATTGACATGTAACTTCAGATTCGTTATGCTATGAAATACTCTTACTGCTTCCTCAGAGAATTATAATGTTGTTGGAAGATATTATTCCATTATATACGCACAATTGAACTAATTATTTTGTGGAGTGAGATAATTAATCACGCAAAGTTACGCCAATTATGTGCTTTTTGTGAAACATTATACATAACCTAATTAAAAGGTACATTAATTTGTGTTTGAGAGAACACTTTTAATCTATGGACAGTTCTTATGTTTTATTTGTGTTATATACTTCCTTTTTTGTTACTCAAGCTTAATATATATATAACCTCGTTTCTTTTACTGATACAGTGGATAAATTCAAGTTAGAGTTATCATAATATTTGAAAAAATATCGTATACAGTTTGGTTGTTGATGTATAGAACTTAGTTTCTATAATATAAATATCGGTGTGCTCAAATACCCCCGTGCTGATTATTCCATGTGCTCATCGTTCACCAATCCCAGTAAAAGATCGGTCACTGACAACTGCAAAAAGGGATACGATCATTGTTTCACAGATTTTGGTAACTGAAGACCAGAAAATTATCTGAAGAAAGTAAAAAGATTGTGATGGAAAAGGACCACGAAGCTGCTGCAGACGAGTTGCGAAAGAGATCCTTCAGAAGTGCGGAGTCATCATTAGTCGATCAACCAAAGAGAAAACAGCAGAATCCATTCCCTTAGATTCAAGTGGAGTCAAGTGGAATCAAGCGGATTCAAGTGGTGTCATAGATTCTGCTGTATCCCCCTTGCTTCCACAACAATACTCTGTAATGGGCGTCGATCGTGATTTTTCTCTCAATGTCAAAACTGTTATCAATGAGTTTACGAAGTACAGGAATGCTTGAAGCGATGAAGATAGTGAGTAGTCTCTCCGTAATTGGAAACTGTTGTTGATTTTTCGAGAACACAAAAGAAATCTCAACAAAATCTTTGTTTCGGAAAAAAGTAGCAATCATATTAGTGCAGCGATTCTAAAAACTACGTTTTTTCTTTACCACCACTTTTTTGTATGCTTGTTTTCAAAAGAGCTTCATTTTCGACGAATCAACGCTGTCGTGAGTGTCGTCAACAGACAGGTTGCTAGTGGATGACATATCTCGACATTTTCCTTTCCATTAACAAGATAACGAAAGAGAGTCTTCATTGTCGTAAGAAGTTTTCACTTTTCGAAAAATACCAGTCGCATAAACGCAGGTAACTTTTCAAAGCTTTCAGTTTGATTCCTTTTCCTATAGAGAGTATTTCTAAGAACAGCTGTTACGAGTGTGACTGCTTTCGGCGGCAAGTATATTTATATGAGATGATGGTTTGTCCTCGAAAATTTACAAGAACGAGTCCAAATTTTTAAAAGAAGACTGTAAAACGTTTTCACTTCGCAAAAAATCGTTACATTTTTAGACCCCAAGAATATCATTAATTTTATATCTAGTGCGAAAGAGAAAGTTTATAGACCTTGGAACGCTCCAAACAGTCTTATGATAAACTTGATTTTTCTGTTTTTTCTTCTTAGAATAAAAGAATAAATTCAGAAGATGAGTTTTTATAATCATAGCAGGAGAAAAAGAGCTTCATTGAAGCAGAAGTCGTAAGTACGACCCATGTTGTAGAAAGCATCGCCGAGAAACGCACACCACTTTGAAAGAGCCTCGAAACACAAACTTCCGCTACGTTAAAGGGTTTTAGAAAATTTACGCCACCCCCTAGGAAAAATCCTGGATCCGCCACTAGTCATTATCCAAAGTAAGCGGGGTATTTATAAAAGACGCGATCACCCAAAATGATTGAACTATGAGCAAAATTCTCAATAAACATTGTTTTTTTCAACCTACGAAGACCCACATATTTTGCCGGTAAGTAGATCTAGCCGAGTTCAGTACATGCCCAAAAATTCAGATTTTTATCATGTAGTATAAGGAAAATAGCATAGGACCTACATTTTCAATTTAATTAATATGTAAATTCAATTACAAGGCTTAAAACTGAGAAAGTAGATCCTGCGCTATTTTCCTTATACTATATGATAAAAATCTGAGATTTTGGGCATGTACCTAACTCAGCCAGATCTATTTACTGGCAAAATATGTGGGTCTTCGTGGGTGATCGCGTCTTTCACAAATAACTAAGGAAGAGAACGGTTGACACCTTTCTTTTGTGTGAAAGTTGCCAACTTTGCGTTGAATCAACTGAAAAACAATCGTACTAAAGGAAATTCGCGTTTCTTCTATTAGAGATCGACTGATACATTCATTGGTAAGAGTAGTAAATCTGTCGCGTATACTGTATTTTATAACGAAGAACCGATTGATAGTTACATTTATATATTCTGATAGCTCTTCAAAATTTCCATGTTTCTGTATATTTGTCGATGCTTTTATATTAATCTATTTCAAAAATAGTTCGAATGTACCAATCGTATCGTCAATTGATAAGTGCTGGTTCGGTATTTTTATAGTTTTTTGAAATTACTATCCCTGTTGAGATGTTTTAAAAAAGCAATTAACGACTCTAAGAGAGCTTGAAATATCTATCATCCAATGTTTCCTCGACTGAAAGGAGGGTCTTACAAAAAATAAAAGTTTATTTGTTTGCAGTAGGGTCAAAAGAACATCTTCAGCAAAGAGACTAACTGTGAGGAGTTTTGATGCTATTAGAGGTAACTCTATCCGGAGAACTCGAATCCGTGGTCCGTCTCCCTCGGATGACAATGGTTGCTAGATAACCGATAAATCCGGCTTGCGGCGGAAGGAGTTTCTTCGGGGGTAGCTCGACAGCGGGGTCCATTGACTGGAATGTGAATGGTTGACTGAGAACAGAATGAGCAGGAAAATCATTTTCTCTTTCGGATGGACGAAACAACTGGAATCCCATAGTAACGTACGGCGACGCTTACAGAGACAAGTCATGCGCATTTTGACACTAACTTTGAATATTCGTGGGTAACCGAGAGTACTGTTGCCTTGCACAGGATCAGAAAAGATGTTTCCTGTGAAGTGGCAGACGGACCCGAGAAAGACGTAACTAGATCTCGATTAATGAAGTATTATTGCGTAGTTCTCATTTTCCAAGCTAGGGGCAAATTTAGACCCACCATAAAGGATTCACAGCTGACGATAGTCGTCTGAATTGAGTATAATCAGAACCCTTTCAATCTGGCTATCAGCTAACTAGGAGATCATCTGAAAGGAGAGTAGATATAAATATAAACAGGACTAGCCGGGAGGGATGCCGACGAATGACTGCTCGCTGATCCAGAGGAGGTAAGTCCGTGAGCAATCTGACTCTCAGAAACAAGTCAGCATTTTGAATTAGCATTAGGGGCTGAAACGGATCTTCCAGATTCTTATTGAGTGGTCATGAGGCGAAAGAGACAGGTACTTTATGTTCGATATTCGAAAATGATAGGTATGGATACCGGGATGAAGATGTTTGTAGGTGATGTACAACGTCAAATTGCTGGTATACCAGAGGAACAACGAACGTTGGACAAGATGTAGCGCCTTCGGATAGCCGGTTGCATGACGCTTCATCTCTTTAGAATTGCTCCACTCGAGAGTGCGATGCCGGAAGTTCTGGTGCTAATACCTTAGAGTCACATATATCGAAATGTTAGCGTGAACATAAATATAGAAATATATTAACCTTCTAGCTCAGCTCGCCGAAATGAATAGCTGATATGGAGATACCGTGAAAATAGAAACGGGTGCACTGATGACTGCTAAAGAGCTAAATATTCGCTTGCGAAGACAATCCTTGATCTTCGTCTTTGTAGGCATCAGGGAGAAATCTGTGATCATTCGACATTTTTGTGGCTGTTGTCGGTACGAGAGCACTTTAGGAGAACGTGTATTTTTACACATATCCTGTATTTAATCATCTAGTAGAAGGAATAGATGCTTGCAGTGAATGAAACATGGAAAACACAGGGCCGAGCTGGGAGTGGCGTCCCGAAAGGACGCCGACGACCGGCGAGATGCTGATTGCCCTGCTTCAATCCAAATAGATTTCGGCAGCAGATGTTAGCGTATTATTTCGCTCTCTTCGGAAAAATATTACTGAACAATGCACCGAGTTCATAGCAATGCTCTCTTCGACTAGTATAAGAAAATCAAATCTGCATCTTCAAACAAACGAAATGATAGGAACATCCTTTAGATAAGTGAGAATATCGTGGCTTCTTTGAAAGAAAAGTAGCAGAGAGTAAAGTCTCAACAGTGAGTAGGATTTTAGTGTTGAATCGGATGGGCTTTCGATGCATCAGTAGGCTTTTTCGATCATGAAAATTAACTTCTTCATTCGAAGCTTAAGTCCTTTTTAAAACAGCTTCAAATGAATGAGTGTCGATGTGCATTGTTATTTTGACCAGATGAGTAATACAGTGTCTGAAACTTTTAGATGAGTTCTCGAAGATAATCAAGATGTGTTGACTGATGATTGGAGTTCATAATAACTATTCAAGGTAACGAGGGCCGCATCGGTGCGCTGTAATGTTTTCATTTATTCTGATTTAGTGACTTAGCGAGACAAATCTCATACTGAAAAATGATTTCAGAACGTTCAGTCGAGGGTCAAGCGAGTCGTAGCGACGCGCGTTACTTGTATTTTTGTCTTGCCTCATATTCACGTGCTGAAGCATAATTTAAATATTAACTGAGTACCCAATTTTGTAAGCTGCTATCTCTTTAACTTTTTTCTTGTTTTCGAAGTTCAAGATGATTGAGAAGGTAAGGATATTTTAGAAAATATGATTAATTGTTCCAAAACCTATTTCTATTCTAACAATAGAGTTGAAATACAAAGTAAATTGTTACTTTTCTGGATACGTCAATGAAGGTACCCGTACAATACTCGGATGTGCTTCAGTACATAGATGCAAGGGAAGAAAAAAATATATAACTAGGATGATAGAGATTTTCAAGCTTTATCAGAATCATCTAAATATGGATTATAGTTTCAGAAAAATTAAAACTATTAGAATATCAACACCTATTAGAATATATAACTGTTTTTATGAAAAGGTGATAATAATGGGATTCAACCGGTGAGCCATATTCCCTTGAATGTGCTAAATTTGAAGTAGACGAAAATAATCTTGGATGTCTGAAGTGATCTCTTCACTATTACACACACCATCTTCACTGTTTTGCAGCCGAACAACAAACAGACCTACACGCCATAGCCATGGTCAATGAAGACATTAAAAATCTGGTTTTCTACTGCATCTATGTGCGAAATCATTCCGAACGTGGCACGTTTCAAGGCGTCATCGATGATCTACCACGGTTTATTTGAATCTCTGTTTACCTTGTTCTCTACCAGAATATTTCTCTTTTGCTTAGAATCACCCGAATGGATATTGATTTTGTATGGTTTTTACCCATTTATCCGATTGGTAGCACGAATCGTACAGGTTCGCTTGGTTCACCGTATTCGATCAATGATTTTCGTGCTATCAATTCGGAGTATGGTACAATGGATGACTTTCATCGTTTAGTCTCAGAAATTCATCGACTAGGGATGAGAGTCATGACTGATATTGTCTTTCGACACACTAGTCATGACTGTTCATGGGTAAAAGAACATCCCGAATGGTATCGGAGAGATGCAACGGTCTGAACTTCATTGATATATCTCTCTGAATACTATAATGTTTTCTTTATAGGGCAAACCTATTTCTCGAGTACCTCAAAATGGTCGGATATTGTGGATTTAAAATTCGAAGGAAATGAAACAACATTGTGGCCTGAATTGATTGATATATTAAAGTTTTGGTGTGAGCACGGTGTCGATGGATTTCGTATGGATCTTGCTTCTTGCGTTCCAATGGAATTCTGGTAACGAACATATTTAGAACTTCTTGCTATGAATACTTGTTTTATTATTCAGGCGTCAAGCAAGATATTCCGTGATCAATGTGTATCCTCGTTGTGTCTGGTTGGCTGAATCAATTTGGTTTAGTGCCTTGAAGAGTCAACGTGATCAAGATAAAATAATTCATACGGATGCAGAACTCTATGAAGTATTCGATCTGCGCTACGACTACGATACTTATGTGGCGTGGCGTGCTGCGGTGCAAGGTGCCGCTTCGATCAAATCCAACCTTGAACTTCTTCGTCTTCAAACATTCGTCTATCCGAAGAACTTTATCAAATTGAGATTTGTTGAAAATCACGATCAAGATCGAATTGCGTACATTTGTCGAGACAATCGATGGAAAGCATTGGCATGGACAGGTCATTTGAAATATTGAATACGTCACTAAAGGCTGTTGATAGTGTGTGAGGAGTCATTTTCATACGGAATTCAGGATCTGGTTTTATCCTTTCAATAAGGGTGTTTGTAGAAACCTTTTGTACATTGGAAAAAATCTCTGAGTCTATTCTTTTCAGAAAGGAATATTTGAACTTTTTCATCATAGCCTTCATTTGTCTTCATACGTTAATGCCGATATTTTATGTAGCCTTTAGTGCATTCAATAAAGGATGTTTTTTGGTACACGACGGTCAAGAAATGGAACAAAAGACAATTTCATCATTGTTCAATAAAGATTGGGTTGACAGTAGAGGAGTACGTCCGCTGGAAGAGTTTATATTTAGACTTATACAGATCAAGAAGCATCCGTAATCGAAACGAAAGGAGCCAGGTTAGTGAAACGAAATATCGATGGAATTTAGACGTTATTCTGTGTTTTTTCTTAGATTAACAGTGACCCATCATAGTCCATGTATTGTTGCCGTATGGGAAGTTGAATCAACTCGCGAAGGCCTCATCGGTATCTTCAATGTGGCACAGGAAGCTAACGGTGAACAGTTTATTCGAATACCCAATTTGCTAAATGGCAATTATAAAAATCTGTTTATTGATATGGGCGTGGATGACTTACTCAGACGCGAACTGCGTGCAGTTCCAGTGAACAACAACGGTCGATTGGATGTACCCAAGGTGGCCATTGTTCTTCATTATACTGATATTCTTCTTCGCCATAAACCAATTTACAGTACAACATTTGATTTTAACTACAGACATGCCTAATATTAAAACTGAATAACAAGAATAATACGTATATTCGACTATAGGTCGAACTTTTTTCCTGGAACAATAATTAATGAATTGTAATTTTTATTTCTTCTGTCTAATAAATCTAGGGGATAGACATACAATCCACTTTCTTCTTAGAATTGGAGCTCTATTGGTCATTTATAAAGCCTTTTTGTGTCAAGAATCTGGTCTAATCATTTCTTTGAATATGTCCCCGGCAGTGGCAGTGTCTTCTGGACTTCAAGAATATGCCAATGTTAGGTAGAAGCGTAGCTATCTTCGTTTATTGTGAACCAAAAGAAAGAATCTGTACACTGCGTGCACACTCCTAATCGTGATTTGAAGTTCAAACTCGACCAGCGATCGAAGCAGTTAACTAAAGAAATTCAAACTACCGATCGAATGAAACAGCAGTGGCGCGACGATATGGACCGGCAGGAGGCTCGATTTCGCGACGAATTGACGACGCTGGAACGGCAATACGAAGAACTGCTACAAAAGTTCGAAGTACAGACTTCGAACAACTTGGCATCGCCACCTATTGTTGGCGATGCGAACGATTTTGATATGAAACTTAGACTGATCCAGGACAGACTGTGGGAGACCAAAAATTTGAACGCGATTCAAGTAGTTCGAATCAGTGATTTGGTCTTGGAAAACGAGGTTAGACTGCTTCCCAAGCTTTAGAAAATATTACTCATTTTATTGAATTTTACGAAATTTTTCAAAATGTAGAATTATTGATTTTTTTGATTTTCTAATTTTTCAACCAGGATACAAAATTTTAAAGTTTTTTCGAAATTTCTGGAAATTTTGGAATATTTTCTGACATTTTATTTTATTTTTCAAATTTTTAGATTTTTAAATAAGTACAATTTTGCCAATTTTGTTTTTTAATTTTTTTAATACCTTTCTTGCAATTTTTTGGGATCCTTTTTTGATATTTGTTTTTTATTTTTCAAAATTTTCAATTTTTTTAATTGTTAAATTTTATTTTTGATTTTTGGGAAACATTAATTTTTTTTAATATTTTTTGAAATTTTTCGGGATTTTTCGATTTTGATTTTTTTTGAAATGTTTTGAGACATTAAGATGTTTTTTGAAACTTTTTTAAAATTATTTTTCAGCGGCTAACGCGATTGGCAGATTCATTGACGGTGAAAATTTCAAGAATTAAGTTGGACTTGCTGAAGGCCTGTAACAACCATAGCGAACGTTTAGTTCTAAATTCACTGATCAAGTCGATTTTTTCAACGAACAACACCAACAACGATGATGCTAAAAATAACTTGAAACGCAAATTTTCGACGCTCGACAAAGATTTGTCACCATTGCCAACAACACCTGCTGCTACAAGCAGCAGTAAATCGCCGAAAAATTGTTTCGAATTTAACACCAGCAGTTTTCCGGTTACCTCGCCACTGTCGGCACAGTCATCGTCCCATTTCTCGTTTATTTTTGAGCCATTTCACGTGAACCGCAGACCTAAGCTACTAACGCGGACATTGGATCAATCAAGCAGATTCTCTACTTTGATCGATTAAAACTAAAATTCAAGGAAAAACAAAATGAAAAATGAGTATTTGTTTTTTAAAAGGTGGAAACATTGTTTTAAAAAATACAAAAATTCCGAAAATCGACGAGGATCACGCCAATAATTATCGCTGTAAGAAGTACTGTCTGGGATACGTCTGATTTCTGGTCTGATGGAAGTGCGCACCTGCGGTGCACAAGTGAACCTCACCTCAACTTCAATGCAGCTGTGAATTGTAGTGTAACAAAAGGTTCACGAGCAATGTTCGCGAGGTTCATTTCGGGATCAACATCAAAAACGACCAGCGAGGCCGCACGCGCGCACACAGTGTTTTACGCAATATCGCATGCAACAACTTTTAGCTATAACGAAGAAACGGTATAGTGAATATGCAAAAATTTTAAACCTAATTTAAAATTTGAAATCACTTGTAGTTCTTGAAATTCGGGTCGAATACGTTTTATTGCTTCGTTGCGAAATCAACGTTCAAAGCAAAATCATGCAAAAAATGTTGTCAAAGATATCTTGCAGTTATTGATTTTTGAATACGTCACTTTAAGCGGTTGCAAAAGGAAGAAACACATTCCTTCTATATACACGCTACCGATCGGTCGCATTTTCTCTCTCCCTTCTTTATTATTTTTTATTATTATCACGTATCTTGTGTATTTGCTGGTGGCGTGAAATATTGCTGTTCGCCATCAACTATTACAATTTTCGGCACTCACGTTTATTTCAGTGTCGAAAATGAATACTTGTTCTATGTTGCCCCCTGAAATACCAGCAATTTGTGATCGTCTTTCGAGAGAAGAATTACAGCAAATAGGTCAATTATTCTTGGATCAAGCGCAAAATTATGTCGACAAGCAACAACAAACACGTGTATTTCGTTCATCGCTCCGTCGATCTCCCATTCACCCACCCCGCCTCGTCCACCACAGCAAAGTTTCTCTTCCATTCCTGCACTGATGAGTCAGCAGCAACACTACCATCATCAAGCTGTTTCAACAGTACGTCCTTCAATGGAACAGCAGGGGTCCCCATCGATATTTCAACTCCAAGACGTCCGGCTGCAGACAGTTTCGACGTTCAGTAAAACGTTTTAAGAACAATGAACAATCGCCTGGTGTTCGACAACCGGCTCCTCATCCAACCTATCGTCGTTTCAATATGAGTGTATTAAAATGTGCAGTATCTTGTATTCTCCCAAGTTTCTTTATTACTCTTGACCCATCATCAAATTCATCGAAACCTTTATCAAGTATTCAAGTGGCCATTCTACTCAAAAACGTTTTTGCGGAGAACCAAACGGCGATTAAAGAACTTTCATTATGTGTTCAATCCGGTGTTAATCGTTCCAAATTTGCTGTAAACAACAAAGTTGATTTCTTAAAAATCTTCAATTTTCGCTGGCCAGCCGTAATTGAAGGTTATGCAGCAGAAGTGACGAATCTACGGATATTACCGGATTGCTTCTCACTGGTGGTTAGATATATTCCGTCAGAAATAAAAAAAGAACAAGCAAAAACAGAAATCATGAAAGCTATACCAACAGCGATTGCCTTCTCAACATTAAAATATCAACGACGTCAACGTCCAACTTATGATGTAAGATATAATGTTCCAAATATAGATCATTATGATACAGCACTCGAGCTCGGTCATTTAGCCATTGGTCATCACTATCTTTCGCTCACTCATTTCTATTCCGGGTGTAGGCTAATGTATTGCACTGCTTGTTGGCGCATAGATCATACAAGAAATCAATGTCAATCTCATGTATGTTGTCGAAAATGTTTGGAACCGTACGAGAAAGGAATTGAGCATATTTGTTCGGAAAATAAACTCGGATGTGCGCAGTGTAGCAATGCTCACTTCTCTCTCGATCCCGGCTGTCCAATTATACAAAATTATAAAGCTGAATTGAAACATGCGGTGGATGATGCTCTAGATAGAGGTGTGATTAAACGTGTAGCTCCCGGTGAATCCTCACAAACATTCTGTCTACAAGATGAAGATTTTCTCCCGTTAAAAGCAACGAATGCTGGTGGTGGACCTGGATGGCACTCTCCTCCTGATGGATCAATTCAATGTAGGAAAAGAAATTAATGAATTGGTTAAATCAATAAAGATTCTTTCTGACTCGATGGAACGTATCGAAACAAGTTTTTTTACATTGGTTAAATGAATCGAAATAATTGAAAAACGAAGTATGTTATTAGGTGACAGCATAACAACTATCATTGATGCGATACAGGTTATCAATAAATGGATCTATGCGAACAATAACGAAAAATCAAAATTAAAGAAAAAAATTGACAAATTAGCCGATAAACTCCAGAAGGGGAGACGAATTATTAAAGATGATGATAATGGAACATGTTCAACACCGGCTTCCCCTCGTCTATTAGCAAACGTTTTGGTCAATAGGAAACTTCTCTCTATATTGCTCTACTCATCATTTGCCCTGTTATTCTTGTATTATATACCATCATTCAATGTTTATAATCGTCTTATACAAGATTATCAAGATGAATTGGAATTGACATAAAACCAGATTGTTGTTCAGATGAGTGCGCGTTTGCCGAATAACATTCACAAACGACGTAAGGACACGAGTATTTCGAGTATGTCTTTCCTCTTCAAGCAGAATGGGCTCTACGTGCTGAAGAGGAGAAACACGGGAAAGATTATTCGGAACCGTTGCCAACGATTCTGTCTCATATGTAAGGTAAGTATGGAACCATTTACATAAAAATATAACTCCTGGTGAAGGTCAAAGGGACTCGAAAGAATAATCAATTGTTTTCATCGCTCTTTCAGAGTCACTATGACTGTTGCAGCTTCGTGGCGTAATCCGGCACACCAAAAAAGGCAGTAAGCGTCGATTCCTTAGTTCACATCAGACCCATACTCATTAGAGTATGATAGCCATGTATACAATACTCTAGATACTTCATAATTAGCTCAAACTTTCACTTTTTTACTTAAAAAAATGCCACCTAAAGGGTCTACATTGTGAGCCGTTTTTCGCCCCAAGCGGAATGTTTTTTTTCAACTTTTTTTAAATACAAATCACCTTCAAACAGTACTGTGACAGTCGACGTGTATATAAGGTGCGTAGTCTGGAAAAATCTCATTTCATAGATCCCTACTCTGTAAAGAATTACTAGTTTGTTCGTGGCTTTTAGAACTGAACCAAACGTCAAATCAAAGTAAATCTACATGAGATCATACATTTTATGAAGTTTTATTCGATTTCTCTGTTGATAGAACACGACGATGATGACAATGTTCAATAAGTTGTTTTAATATGATCAATATTAATATCCATATAGCATAGACATCAATCCAATCAACTGCACGTTCAGTTCCATCTTGTAATTTCATCATTGTTTGAATTCGTGTGATACTTTTCTCTTGAATTAATTTTCCGTCTTGTTTAAGCATGATTTCAATTGTTTGTTATAATTTTTCAGATGTAAATTTAAATTTGTGTAATCGTTTTCCAACATGTGTATCTTCTAATCGTTGTACCATATCTTGTTGATTAGCAAATATTAGTAGACAAAGAATTGACATTCCTAACCAAATACTTTCATGCACACTGTTAATACCACAATGTGAAATAAATAAATGTACATTTGGATGAGCTAAATAACCTAATGTTGAGGTTGACTTGATATTCCCTCGACTGAAGGGAGAGTGATATGAAAAAAATAAAAATGTGTTTGTATGTTTGTCGCATGTCAAAGGTTTACCACCGGTGTCCTATAATAGGGCAAAAACACAATAAAATGGCTGTAGCTCGACAGGAAAGAGCTATGGGCACGAATCATTCTAGACTTTTCCTAGTCTCAACAGGACTTAAATAATGAGTGCAATCTGAAGTCAAAAGCGATTTATCACTTTGCGAGGTTCCCTCGTCAGTCTACTCTTAAATCTATTCACTAAACATTAATTCGTCGTTGAATAACCGTTTCTTCATATTTTGATTACTTTTGACTAGGTACGATATTGTTTCAATAACATCAATTCTTTTACAAGCTCTTTTTTTAAATATGCTAAAGCGATAGTTCTTTAATATAACTAATGTTTTAAAACTATTTTTGATGTTATATCATCGGATATTTCATTGCCACATTATACTGCATTGTTATGTTCTTTCTGTGATTTCTGTCTATCTCATCTGCGCATATATTTTGTGCCCACTAAGCACCTCTAGTACCTTGCCAATATAGACCTTCATATATACAGAAATATGTTAGTCATTGTCAAATTTCCTATCATATGACAAATTGTCTAGGTTGTTTAGTGCTCAGTACAAATTTACAAATTACTTTTTGTTGTGTTGTATCACAGACTAATAGTTAGTGGTCATGACAACAATGTAAAAACATTATTAATTTTTTTGTTTGCACTTGTTCTTGATGTTCTTCTCACATCGAGTATGTTTGCACTCCTTCGCTTCTCCTTTTGTATCGCTCTCTGTGTAGATTAGATTTCCTTACATACACTTTTATTTTATCTTTTTTTCTTTCCTGCACTCTGTGCGTGCGTTTCGTCTATGATTCACTTGGTTGATATAGTGTGAGGTAGATAATGAAAATGATATATGCAGTCTTTGCAAAAAGAATTCTGTGTTTGGAAAGATAAATAGGTGAGCTAATGTAAATGAAGTATAAAACTGTGACTTTGTTTCTGCGAATAAATGAATTGTATTGTTGTTTTGTTAAACTTTTTGAAGATGTCTACTGACGAATTTGCTGAGATAAAAGCTTCATTCTATATTGACGAACCACCAATCACTGGTGATATTGAAACTTTCTTCGCCAACTATGCTTCCATACCAACTTTAGCACTGCGTGATCATTTGATCGCGATACGCGAACGTGCTTGGCAAAGTTGCAATTATCCGTGTCTTGGCCGCTGGCGATTTCTTCGTTCTTCGATCAAACAAAGTCCCATTTATGCAGAGATTCTTGAAAAATGCAAACAGGAAGGTGCTACAGTGATTGATTTTGGATGTTGTCTTGGTCAAGATGTACGTCAACTTGTTTACGATGGAGTACCAATCGATCAAATCCGTGGCTACGATTTAGAACCTTTTTTCATCGAGCAAGGTTATGAATTATTTCGTGATGGTGAAGTGATGAAAGAAAAGAAGATATTTGCGCCAGGTGACATTTTTGACAATCAGTTTTTGAACGAAATAGAGCCTGCTTACTATCTTTATGTTGGCTCATTTATTCATCTTTTTGATGCTGAGACTCAACGAGATGTATGTCGACGACTCACTAAGCTAGCAAAACGAGTTATCGCTGGTCGGCAATCGGGTGCGTCGATAGCACGAGAACACCCAAAGTTGACGAGTCTTACAGGCGGTAAAGCGATACAACACTCTCCAGAAAGCTTTACGCGTATGTGGGATGATGTTACCGACGGCGAATGGCAAGTGGAAAGCGCTACTTTGGAGACGATAGAAGACGTAAAAGGTTCTGATAAAGGACTCATTTTTGTAGTAAGAAAACAAGAAAGACAGTGATCAATTTCGTATAGAAATTTTATGTTATTCAGTAGATCATTTCTCGAATGATGGACGTGTGATCAAGAATAAATGAATATTTCTAGCATTATTCGATTGCTCTTGCGGCTGCCTAGACCAAACATAGAACTTTTATTATATCTTGAAAGTACTCATGATTTTGCCATGTGAAGCCAATTTATTTTAAACAAATGTTGTAAGTTATTTAACCAGAACGAAATATGCCATTTTGAAGAGAATTTCACGGCGCATCTTTTTCATAAAGACAAACATATGTTTTGATTCGAAGGAAAAGAAGTTAGATATAAGATATTGAGAGACTCATTTAATCTGCCCCACTCGTTCACAAAAAATAGAGTTGAATAGAATGAGAGAAAAGGAGAAACTGAGAAGAAAGTGCAGGGCTAGAGAGAAGGATAGATTATGTAGTTTATCATCACAATTTGATCCATAGAAAGAAGGATCTCACTATGTAAAGAAGATGTCTGGGTGTCTGAAGGAAGAGAATGGACGGTTCATTTTTGTCTAAACAATCCGAACCGATGATATGCTGTAGAAAGCAATGAGTTGAACAGCTTTCGTTCTAACCTCAATAGCCAGTTCATCAATACAGATATGATTATATGGGAGACAAGTTCATCAGTATCGTTCACTGAAAAAAAATCCGGATAATAATCTACCGTTGCCCTTTAGAAAATTGTCAATAAACTCGTGAAGGTTTTATCCTGCTATGATAAACGCTTCCAGGATTTATCAGTCGAAGGGTTTATAGCGTTTATATACGAATTTCTCATTCTATAATTTTACGATAAAAGTATGTTCTTCAACGGATGACAGTAGATTATGATACACTTTCAGAATGAGGGTATTCTATTATTCACTTTTAGGTTTATTATTCTACTTCTGTCGTAAGGGTATATCAGCATGTCTTTCTAAGAAGATTATACAACCCTTCTTAGAAACAACTCATTACTCTACGCCGCAGGGTAGATTATTCCATCTGATTTTTCAAAAGGTTTCTTATTCTACGTTCTGCTATTGATTCATCTACTTTTAAATCCAAAAGGTTTAGTGTTGTACTTGAAGAATTATCTTCGATGCATTTTCGTTAACGGTGGTATATTATTATATCAACAACTGTTGACTTCTTTACATTTCCGTGAACAAGGGTATTCCGTTCATCCTTCAAGGGTTGATTCAATTTCCTTCTTCGTAGACAAAGGATTATTCTTGCACCCCTTCGTTGGAAAGGTATATTATTGTACGTACAAGAGTTGATTCTTCTACACATTCATTGGAAAAGTTTATTATTGAACATTCAAGGGTCGATCCCTCTGCGTTCACATGGGAAAAGTTTATCGTTGTACATAGAAGAACTAATGATTCCACAACGCCATTAAAAAGGATTTATTTTTCTATGTATAGGGTTGATTTTTTTACCCTTTCATTAGAGAAATCTACTATTCCACTTACAGAGGTTAATTCTTGCATCTCTCTTTACAAAAGTTTGTTATTCCCACTAATTCAAGGTAAACTATTTGCCGGTTTGAGTAACAAATGTGAATGACTAATCGTTGTTAATGCATCAGTAATTAATAAGTGCAAAACTGACTGTAAGCATTATTCAGACTCTCGTTGAATCAAAGAATAATGTGCAGTGCATAGCATGTTCATTTTTGGTCCAGAATCATTTGCGAAATTACTAGTCAACAACTTATCACAACGATTTTAAATGTCTTGTGATGATGTCATCATTTATCGAGCGCTTTCGTGATTAGTCGAAGCCATCAGTACAAGTAGATCGTTTAAATCATTTCACCGAAGAGAAGAATTGTAATGACAGGATATTATTTCATCTGAAGTTGGATGTTATTTGATTTTCGAGCAAGGATGTGTTCTGTGGATGGTCCTACAAAGAAATCTTTTTTTTTAAATAGAATTCTAGATAACTTAATTGTCGAATCATGAACTGGTCGTGCGAGCAAGTCGTTCAATGGTGCAAATCATTCATCAATGATGATTCAATTTTATCTCGATTTGAACGCCAGTTTGTTTATTTACTGTTAGAAATGCACGTTTTTTCGATCAGTTCAGGCTAGACTTTAAATATTTATTTCGATAAAATACCTCGTCGTATATATTAGAAATTCATGTCTGATATAAGATAGCTTGAATTGTTTATTTATTTTCTTCGTGATTGACTTGTTTTGTTCTTCTTTCAGTGAAGTAAGAGAGGTCATGGCAAATCTCAAATTGTAACCAGTTATCCGAAAATTTCTGCTTCTGATTTCTGTTTTTAACTAGAAATTTACTACGAAACCTCTTGACCAATATTTAGGAGATTACTTTTTCAATAAAGTCTGAAAATTCTCATGAACGACAATAGATCATAGTCTTGTTGTGTCCACTAATTCGTAGGAGTGCCAGAAAAGCAGAAATCAAATATTTACTTTTTCAAGAAAATCCTTCCGTCTCGTTGATTTCTGATCGACCGATGTAGATCATAAAAGACCCGCGAATTTGCGATTCAATTTGTATGCCTAAGGAACAGTAATGTCAAACTTGAAAGTTGAATTCAAGTTTTCCAGTATTACTAATGCGATGCCCTCTGAAGTTTTGTTCGCCCTCACCGTCAGCTAGTGCGATGGCCTGTCTTGATGGATGAACTATCAGTTCAATACTTAAATACGTGAATATTTGAATTCAAGTTTGAAGTATTACATGTATGCTAAGCAAGTAGATTTCTGGTTTTCTGGTTCATTTTTAATCATATGATTCCAAGTACAGATTCATTTATTAACGCGCCTTTTGCCGCATCTATTCAGTTTTCAGAAATGACACGATTTTTTAAAATTTACAAAAATTTTCAAGAATATAAATTTGGGAAAATTTTCAAGAATTTCAATTTGCAAAACTTTTGACACACGGACTTTAAAATTTGTACCAATTTGATATTTGCCACCCCATGCTGATCTCTACAGTCAACAATTGGACCGGGTTGCCGAAAAACTCAAGGGAAAGCAGGATCGAATTTACTATTTGCATGATAACGCAAGACCTCTTGTTGCAAAGTCGATCTGTGAAAAATTATTGAAGCTCGGATGGATTACCATTCCTCATCCACCTTATTCACCTGACTTGGCTCCAACTGATTACCATTTGTTTCGTTCTCTTTCTCATCATTTGCGTGAGAAAAAGTTCGATGACGAGAACGACGTGAAAATGGATATTGTCAGCTTCTTTGGTCAGAAGTCCCAGGACTTCTACGAACGCGGGATCCTATCTCTACCAGAGCGTTGGCGACAAGTCATATATAGTAGTGGGGCATATATCACTGAAAGCTAGTTCCACTGTTGGAGTTAAAAAATAAAAATAAAATTTTTGAAAAAAATGCAAAAACTTTGTTACCAACCTAATATCTAAGTTTAATATTAATATTCATAATTTTATCTTTGATCAATAAATATAAACATTAATTACCTAAATAAACTATTTAATCATTCTTATATTATATTATAAATTGCGGTGGAAGTATACAAAAACAAATTAAAAATTTCCTGAGCCCCCCTTCAAAGATTTTTCTTTCCTGTTCGTAATATTTCGCCTTTTACAATTCTATACAAGAATGGAGAAATTGTAGTACAGTTCGTACGAAAATTGATCGACTAACTTAGTCTTATATCTGGATTAAATGATTCTAATATTCCTCATAAGAGTATACAAAAAGTACAAAATCGTCAGCAGAACATGCTTAAAAGATCACCGATGCACTGACAGTACTTTTTTCAAATATCGTTCTTCTTGAGGATATTCTGGTAATTTTGAAACAAATATAATAGACTTCAAAACATTAGCTTGAGATTGAAAGAGTTTTCTTTGCTTTTTCGTCATGTTTTTTTAAAACATGCTTTCTTTTGACTCTGTTTTTCGCCACTATTGTGTTGAAACAGCAGCCAAAAAATATACATACCCCTCATTCAAAAGTATATGTTAATTATTAAATGAATTCTTCGAATATCACTAGCTGAGTGTATGACGAAAGAAGTCGTACTTTTTTTCGATAAAGTGAGAAGAGAATGAGCTACGCATCGACTATCACTACAGTGAAAAGAGCGATAGTAGGTGCACATGTATACATTAAACATATTTTTTCTATTTCGTATCAGCAACGGACAAGGTCAGGCGTATTTTTCTTTTCCTTCTCAAGCTGTTTAAATGACTGTGAGCAAAAAAACATCAGTTTTTTGTGTAGAAACCAAATAAATTGAGAAGAAAGGGAAAGAAACATCAGTATTTCCTAAACGCAATTTAAAAAATATAGTATACACTTTAATATTTCGAATACACTTCGTATGTTTTTCATTGAGGACAAGCTATCAATACTATGAAGAACTAGTAAGAGAGAAACTTTTCACAATCAAATAAGTAAACAGAAAGCTGATGAAAAAGCTAATTAGAAGAAAAGTAAGAAGAACAATTTGTTTCTCTAAAACGCACAATTACATTTCTTTATTTTGCTAAACTATTTCGCAAAATTTCTAACTTCATGAAATTAGAGAAAGTGTTTCCCTTTTCTTCTACCCAGAAACATCCGATCTTCATTTACAGAATGTTACTTGCACAAATTCTGTTATTTGAAAATGTTCTAGAAAGTCTCGTTGTATGTCAGAAGGATTACAAATTGTTAAGTGCACAGCTTCGATCGTGATTGTCGACTTCACCATGCCATACATTGATGGCAAATATAAACGATTGAAAGTTGAAAGAAGGAAAGAAACTTTTCCTAGTTTTATAAAAACAATAGTGATGCGAAATAGGTAAGATAGGAAAAATTTTACTCAGTTATCCGCTCTCTGTGCCTTTTTGCAATAATTCCTTTTAGATCTAACGTAAAATACAATGAACTTTATTTAGTTTTTGTTTCTATTTCGTCTTTCCAAGTTTTTTTTGTATACATCAGATCTGCAACAGTACACTTTTTTCCCTAGCCCACATATGGAAAATTCCTAATTTCACTTTCATCTATAACTTTGAGTTACGTAGTTAATTGCTCAATTCCACGGTGTCTACAACTGTTCTGATTCGTCGATACCCGATTTTTGCAATCCGCAAACATCTAATATACACCGTCGAAAATCTGTTTGCAAATATTGAGATCCAGCTTGACTAGTCACTTTTTTCAGTACGCGATTAACTGCATCCATTTTCACACTATCCCGAAGGCACTCACGTCTTAGTTGTCGAGGTAAAACAGTCAATTAACTTCACAGGACTAAACTTTTTTCGTTTATCAGATATTAATTGCTCAAAAACATGGCTTCATCTACCGAGTTTGCAAACATTCGCATACCATCTAATATTAAGCTCGATCACAATCCCAATGTCATCACTCTACTCCGCTGCTTTTCTGAAATAATTTGCAACAGACCTGTCGATGGTGCAACTCTTAATTCCCGCATTGCTGAGTTCGTTCATCCTGACTATCATCAAGAAACGAATGGTAATATGTTAAATTTCGATCAATTGGTGAGTCACATACGTGCTCTAACGGAAGTCACTGCACACATGACGGTAACATTTAATCGAATCGTAGCCAAAAACGATCGTATTGCCATGTTTCATCACGCACAAGCAGAGAAGAAGGATGGATCTCACATATCTGGTGATGTGATTGCGATTCTTGGATTTCGTGACGGTCGGATTGCTACATGTTATGAGTGTGCTGAAATCTCGTCTGATGATCCATCGGATCAAGATTTGATATTAAGAACTGAATAGAAAGGCGAACATTTACGAACGAAACTGCAGAACATTCATTTTATTTTGAAATGATTTTCGTAGAGTTTTTCTTCCTCAACAGCTGATTCAGATCTAATGAATCCCATATCAATGTATTTGTCGTGCCGAAGTTACAACTTTAATAAAAAGTGTAACTTCGGCACGACGTATACAGTAGACTTGCTACTCTTACTTTACTCTCCTTCACTTTATGTCTTTTTTTGTGCTGTCTTCGTCTTCATCCTTTCATCGTAAATGTTTTTTTGCCTTTTGAAAAAATTAAAGATTTTCAAACTCAATTTAACAAGAGTACAGATTGATCCTCGAATACTTCTCTAACAGTATGTGCGTCTAAGACTGAAGCTTTTGGGCGAGTGGGTGATTGTACGTTAGACAAAGTCACAAGATCTTGCCCAACTTATACAAAACCAATTACGCAAGCTATGAGATACACATTTGTCATGCTGAATCCTATGTTGAAAATCAAAAATTACCATTTTTTGCCGAAAAAAATTAGACTCAAAACACTCTCACAGAGAAAAATAATTATTTTGCAAAGCTTCCATTTCCCAGGTAACGTATTAGAGAATCTTCTTTCTTGTCTCATCGGTTCTATAAGAATCAGTCAAAATCTTTTGTGTGGAAAAATGAAAAGGATATTTAGAAAAATCACTGAACTTTGGTGAATCCGAAACTTTCTCGTAGTAATGTGAATAGATGGCCCGTTGAGTTGTATGACATTTTGTTGAAATGTAGCAGCGATTACAAAAGAGCAACTTCGAAACAGCGGAAGTGTTTGATTTTGCTTTTTATATTCATTGTCATTTTTCAGTAAGTGTGGTAAGAATCTAAATGAAATCTCATTTTGGTCAGAGTTCGATGAGCTATTGATTGATACAACTTTAGCGAATGGCTTTCGATCTTCCAAAGCACAACAGGTCTCATAAAACACCAGGTTTTACAGAAATCCATATTCGAGTTCCCATGTAAAACATTCTGACTGACTTCTAATGTACTTGATGAAACTATTATTTGAGACCAAGACGAAGATCTATGGCGGGTCCTTTAGGAGCTGAGAAATATATTTACGCTAGGGAAAGTATTTTGTGCTTAACTCAAAAGTGAGACGTACACAGTTTTTTTACTTGACCATCGGTCCGTCCTTTGCCTGTCAAAAGGTAAAAAAGTTTTCGTGGTGTGCGTTCGGTGTCCCTCACTCACCGTTATAAACAGCCGAGAGAAAGCAAAAAAATATGTAAAAAATAAAAACGAAATCTCCCATTGTCCATCCGCCATCCGTGTAATTCGGTTTCAGATGATTCGGACGCACACGAATAGTAGTTTCTCGTCTCTGGCTTAATTTTATTTCCATAATAGTTAAAGTTTCACAGTTTTCACTGTTAGATTCAGCATTCGAAAACGCTACTTGGAAATGTGTATCTTGCCGCTTTCAGAATCAGCCAATGAAATGGTGATCAAAGTTTTATAAATCAATCTGCCATAATTTTTTTCGTTCTATATAATGTGCACTTTTATTAAACAAGATATTGCCATACTGCACACGCCAGTTAAAAAAACATTTTTTCCTATTGAGTAAATAAAAGAACGCAAATCACGTGAGATATAAAAAGTACCTAGGGCATACCAAAAGTAGTGGCTCCGACCCTGTCATTTTTCACAGAAGCATTTTGGAATATTTTTTGCTATATATTTTGATAGCTCAAGTCGAGCTCTATAGTCCTATGATATTTCATAAAGCTTTAAACAATATTATATAAGCGAAAGTTTTGATACTCTTAAATTTTCTCCCACTTTTTTGAATTTTTACTTTAAAAACATACACGAACTAGCTATCTGAACTGAAAAAACACAAACAGAGCACGTGTATTTCGCATGTATAGATGAAAACAAATATCAAAATAGTGCAAAAGATAGAGGAAAGAAAGAGAACAGAGAAGAAAATTAGAAGAAAAAAAGCGAAGATAAGGGGAATATTGTATAGAAGAGAATATAGCATATGTTTTTCAACATAAATCAGAATGCGAACAAAGCTATTCATTTATTTTTAAATGGATAAAGAATATATTCGTTTCTATATTAAAGTGCGTACTGCATTTCATGTAGAGCCGATAGTTCTTCTTCCTCTTCGAACTGTTCAACGTGGTCAAAATGGTTTCGTGACGGTCGAGAAGATGTTGAAGATGAAGAAAGAGTCGGAAGACCAATAACGGAGACAACAACTGAAAATATTCGACAAGTTGAG